AAATATCGCGGTGATTCCGGGACTACATGGTAGAATACAAGGAGGAGAGATGAAGGCAGAGATGAGAATGCAAGTAATCATCTCCATCCCAATGTTGGCATCACAAACTACAAAAAGAAAATTTAAAAATATATTACGAAAGTAAATATAGAAAATATATCAAGAGATGGGAGGGGCATTTTTGTCTTTTACACAAACGAGAGATCAAGAGCGAGTCCCCGTCCCACCTTTTTTGGGTGGGAAAAAAAAATTAATTTTTGTCCCCTTGACATCAGTCCTAGTCCCAATGCAACTGCAAGTCAAACACAGTACAACTGTTTCTGTCCTGTTCTACATAAAAAAACAAAACGGGCCCAAAAATGGCCCATTTTGTATGACAAGACAAAGCAGAACAGGACAATTTTGTACTGCATTTGACATTCATTGGACTATGACTAGGATTGATGTCAAGTGAACAAAAATTTAAATTTTGTCCCACCCAAAAAAGACTGGCTCTGGATCTCTTGTCTGTGCAAAAGACAAAAATGCCCTTTGTCATCCTCATTGTCAAAAGGTATAGTTATAATGAAAGGAAAGGAAGCATATATATACCCATGCAACAGAAGCCTCGAAAACAGTTCCAATAGTCCAAAAAGCTGAAAAGAAAACCATCCAAGTGCCTCTGCTTGGAGCAGGGATGAACTCTAGAAACCAAGAAGAGAGGACGGGCCCACCTCCAAGACCAATTCCAACAAGACAGCGAAGAATGATGAGACATGCGTAGTTAGGAGCTAAAGCACTAAGCATACCAGCCACAGAAGTAACCATTGCAGTAAAGAAATCCTTTCCTATAATATTTAAAAAAAAAAAAAAAAACAATAAAACAATAAAACTACAACTACAAATCATTTTTTTTTTGAAACATTTAAAAAAAATGGAAAACTATACCTCCTTCCATGTTTATCTGCAACAACACCCCATGAATATGCTCCAACCAACATGCCAGCAAAGACAACACTAGTAATCATGCTTTGTTCATGAGAGGAAAGATTCCATGCAGACTGAAGTGCGGGTCCCACAAACGAAAGAAGCATCATTTCCATGGCTTCTGAAATCCAACCCATCCCTGCATACGCAAGCACAAGCATTTGGAACTTCCCAAATCCTACGCTTGCAAGTGCATCATCCACCGTGTAGCTTCGGCTCTCGTCTCCCATCTTTGCAAACAATTTAATTCCATAACTTAGCTACAATATATATATATATATATATATATATATATATATATATATATATATATATATACACACTTGAAAATATCTATCCAGTTATAGCATTGAAAATTGCTTTGTATTTAGATAACAACATAACATTGCTATAACTGGATACATTTTTCAAAGTACATCACAGAAATAGAAAGAAATGAAAGTAGAATGTTGTAATAAACAAATGAATGAAAGTACATTGCTATTTCTTGCATTGATCCCTAATAACTACATAATATACCATTTTAGCGCTTGGACTTTGACTCCTTTTTTGGGTTAGTGAGGAGAAACTTATATTCTTTCTCATAATGGAAACCGGAAGTACTTTTTATCCAAAGATATGGGAACATTGGCTAGCCGAGGCCCAATTAGGCGCATTTAGAGAATCACAAGCTTTTACCTTCTGGTTGACCCATCAAAGCATGCAACAATGCCAAATTCAACATTTTAGTATCCAACTTGTAACTTCACAAAATGATCGGAAAGTAATAAAAATTAACTACTTTTATATTGTTATTTTTCCCAAGTTTTTAACCACTACCATAACAACTTTTTATTTTATTTTGTTTTCTTACACTACAATAATGTTCTTCATGGAATGCAAATGCATGCTTCCATGTAGGTTTGTTCATGTCTATTATTACCACATTAAAACAAAAAATATCCCTTGTATTTTTTATATTTGTTTATGAATATGTCAACAGGTTTAGAATGTAAATAATGAGAAATGACATAACCACCCTTCATTGACTTTTTTGTAGATTATTGTTTGTGTTATATGCTCCACATGCTTTAAAGAGGAGACAACTAGTTATCAATTTTTGGTGTTAGGAAAGTTATTTCAGCCATTTACACAAATGAGGGAGGAATGGAATAAATTTCATGACTTTATGGAGGGAAAGTTGAATTCCTTAACTAATGGAATTCAATTCCTTAAGCATTTGCAACCAATTCCAGCCAAATCCCAAGGAATCTGGCAAACCAAACTCCCCATAATGTAGTTTTCATATCAGAGCATTATTTGTTCATAAGTTACAAAATAAAATTCGAGGGCGCTGACCTAAATGCACAGGGTTAGTTTTTATTTTATTTTTAAGCATACATTTCAAGAATGGTGAAATAATTTTCTGAAATCGATGATCGCTTTCATAGGGAATGTAAGTAGCAATTTGGAATAAGGTCAACCATCATACTTTAAACAGGAAAGATCCATCAATACAGATTCAGGTGAAATTATAAAAAGGCATATCGGAAACCGTATGTAAATGAATTGGCTTCCAACCAATGATCCAAAAAAACTGGAAAATAAAACCCAAATTTGAAACGGGTTAAGAGTTGTTGCAATAAGTCCCAGGAAAATTAAATCTAGAATGACGTACAGTATGGATAATCAAGATAGAGATATGATACGTTGATAAAAGGGTTGCAAAAGAATCGAACCTTAAAGAGCAGGAGGATAACGGAAGAAATCAACGAAGAAGCAGGAGAAAATGTAGATGAATCTCGGATGTGTTTTGACTTTGACAAGCCTCCATGAGTTTGAGAAAATTATGCGACCATCTATATGACAGAAATGGAAAACCTAACTTTTATTTATGTTTCTCATTGGTGAATGGCAACAAGACCGTGTGAAGTTTACACGTTGAATGCAATAAACAGTCAGCAAACATCGTTATTATAGAATTTTTTTTTTTTTATACTTTCGTATATCTTTCTAATTAAAATTTAAAATATGTATTTGTCAAACCTAAAATCTAAATATTATATGTTTTTTTTCTTTTAAAATATCGTATTTACCTATTATTTTTTAAATATATTTTTTAAGTTTTTTGATGGATTTTTATATTTTATAATCATATTAATATATATAAAACAAATTCACCAAATTGTCCTTCAATATTAAAACCAATACATGAGATTGAACTCCCCAAAAAGCTATCTATCCCGTTTGCCCTAGCTATCTAAGTCAAACCCTGATCACGTAGATGGAGATCGACTCCTGAATACCAAAAAAATCTTTTACCTATCAAAATGTTAACAATCCAATCGATACCCACAAGACTATTTTCACATAATTCGACTTCTTTTGTAACACCCAACCAATCAGGTAATTTCCTTTCTTGTTTCAAATTACCAATTATTGCAAAAAAATGGTCCTTACGCCCTGCATACTCGGGGCGTACGTTAGGCGTAAGCTTTAAAAAGGACGCGGATGTTTAAGAGTATGCATGGCGTACTCAATGGAGACGCAAGGCGTACTCGGCAGATATGCAAACCCTAATATTGAGGATTTGAACCATATTTAAGCAACCTTAACTCCCATAAACCCTAACACCTTCAGCCTCCATCCCCCCAAACGACCCCTTGCAGACCCTAATTTTCATGAGAGTTTTTGAGTTATTTGAGTGTTTTATGTCCAACCTTGAAGGAAGAAGATCATTGGAGTGCACTTGGAAAGCTTCAAGCATTGTAGATTTGGGAATTTCACCTCTCAAGCAACCTCCAAAAGGTATATAATTCTAAACTTGATGAGTGTTTCACTAGATCTTGTTAGTTAAGTTGTGTGCATTTTGATCCCATATTCTTGGCATAGTTGAGTATGAGCTACTCCATACCTAATGAGTAGCCTTTTCAAATGTTTTTGAAGTGCATGGAGTCATAAAAAATGTGATATTGATCCTTTCCTTTCATCCATTCATGAGTATTGAGGCTTAGAATCTTATGATATGTTAAGGTTTTTAGATTTGGACACTTTCTAGTCATGCAAAGTTATAAAGTTGGAAACTTTATGATTTAAGAGGTTATTTAGGGTTAGATTTGAGATTTGGATGTAAGGACTTAAAGGAATAAGCACTTAATGAGGAAAGTGGGTGTTGGTTGAGTATGCAAGGCGTACCTAGTGATACACAGTGTGTAATAACCAGGGCCTCGTAATCTAGAAAGGGATTCGCAACGCCATGTGTGGTAATAGAGTATGCAGGGCGTACTCCGCGTGTGTTGACTCTTTGATTTTTTTACTTTGACCTTTAACCATAGACTTGACCAAGTTTGACTTAAGGGAATTTTGGGAAATTCAAAAATAGTAGAGATTGGGTCCCTGTTATTTGTATAGGTGATCTATAGAGGCAGTATTTGGAGCGGTGATCTGTTCAACTATTTTTCAGATTGTGGGGTGAGTTTTCCTCATTGTACTTAGGGGTGTAAACGAGTCGAGTCGAACCGAGTATTGCCAAGCTCGAATCTCGACTCACTTAAGATACTCGACTCGAACTCGCCTCGAGCTTAAATCTGAAGCTCAAACTCGACTCGTGAAATACTCGATACTATCGAGCTCGGCTCGCGAGCTCGGTTCAACTTGACTAAAATTAAAAAATAAAAAATAAAAAATAAAAAAAGGTGAAAATCATCAAAAATTAAAAACATTCCATATGCTTTTACATTGTCCAAAATAGCAAAAATGCACAATAAACCATCTATGTCTTTGCATTTTACATATATCCAAAATACCAAAAAGAAACATCTATGTCTTTGCATTTTAAAAATATCCAAAATACCAAAAAGAAACATCTAATGTCAATATATCATCAAGCATCTATGTATTTGCATTTTACCAATTCAGCACCAACACAATCTCTTGTACCTATCAAAATAACAACAATAACCAAAAAATACAACATAAATAACCAAAAAAAACAGCAAACTAACCTAAACAGCAACATCAAAAATCAGCACCAAAAAACAGCAACAGTGGCAAAAAAAACAGCAACAGCAGCACCAAAAAAGCAGCAACAATGGCAAAAAAACAGCAACAACAGCAAAAAAACAACTTAACCTGAAAACAACAAAAATTAGCTAAAATTTACAGTTTTAAACATTTTAAATATGCTTACTTCTCATGTATCTGTCATGGAATAGGAAGATTGATCTCCATTTGTTGTTTCTCTTTCTGAAACGCATAAACACGAGAACAATAAATATATTAAATTATAAAATATAAATAAAAAGTAATGAGAAACAAATGAATCATACCTTGTTCTTTCTTTTCAAACCATGGAGGCTTCGACACCAATCTCCTCCACAAAGTAAGACTTCAACCGTTTCGGGAGCCAATGATGCTCTATATGTGTCAATAACTCTACTACCCGCACTAAAAGTAGCTTCCGATGCAACAGTGGTGATGGGAATAGAAAGTATATCTCGAGCCATGCGTGATAATATACGATATTTTAACGAATTTGATCGCCACCATTGTAAAGCATCAAACGGTGTTGGGCCAGCATCACAAATGTAACAACCCTCTTCAAGATAATTATCTAAATCTGATTTTTGTGGTTGTATATTTTCAACTGTTCTTACAAACTGAGCAAACTCGGACCATCCGGAAGATGAGGGTTGAATGTTCACATTGTTTCCACTTAAACCAACAACAGTTTCACAATTTCCTTCACCGCCACTAGAACAATATTCATCCACATATTCTCCATACAATTCATATAAAGCTTTTTTAACTTTGTCTATATTTTCACAAGCTTCCTGTTCGGGATACATCCTAGGAAAACAAAACTCAATAACCCTCATTTTGCACCTAGGGTCTAAAATAGCACCAATCAACATCATCAAGTTGCACTCTCCCCAATACTTATCAAAATTTTGTTTCATGCACCGAACCATGTCATGAACAAAATAATATTCGTTAGGATCTTGAAGCTTCTTGTCCAACAAAACTTTGATTCTATAAACTTCATTAAGAAATAGGTTTGAAGTTGGATACTCACTACCAGAGATAATATTAGTTGCAGAGTAAAAAACTTCTAAAATCTCACATACCTTTTCCACATTTATCCAATCTTCATTTGTGGGACAACTAATGTAGCGTGGCTCTCTTTCTTTGTACATTGGAAATACCTCTTTAAATTTGATTGCAGCGGACAACATTTCATATGTTGAGTTCCACCTTGTCTTGCATTCAAGAATAAGTTTTCTATGTGGCAATTGTAATTGTTGCACAATCTCAGAAAACAAGTTGAGTCTTGACTCATTTTGATTGATAAATGTGACAGAGTCGTGTATATCCTCAATGATATGGCCAATTCTAGAAAGTCCATCTTTAACCATAAGATTCAAGATGTGTGCACAACAACGTACATGAAACATCTTTCCTCCACAAGGCAACTTCTTAACCCTTGAAAAAGTTTCACTTAAGATCCTAACAGTCGAGTCATTATTTGAGGCATTGTCAACCGAAATAGTAAACACCTTATTCTCAATGCACCAATCCTTCAAACACTTATAAAGATTGTCGGCAATCTCAAGCCCACGATGAGGAGGAGGTAAGTGAATAAAGCTAAGAACACGCTTTTGTAAATGCCAATTAGAATCGACAAAATGGCCTGTAAGAACCATATTAGAACACGCTTTTTACTAATGGTTGATTATCAGGGAAAATTGCAGTAAATAGTAACATATTATTATTTCTTTTCTAAACACCATTAAAATAACCAAATTAAGTGCTATCTAGATAAAGTGTTTTCCTTATGTTTATATTTGAAAAGATTCTAAAGGGGGAAAACTTTGATAAAGGTATAACTGAATTTGAAACAAGATGGATCGGATGGGCTGGAGTAAATGTAACTGATGAAATCGGGAAGAAATCACTCACCAAAGCTTTAGCTGACAAGGTTGACTGTATGTATATTTATTTATAAAGGGTTAAAAAAAAAACAACCTTCATAGCATCCTACTCTCATTTCTTTCTATTATAGATTGTGTATATATAAACGGTTAAATGAAGAAAATCGCAACGTTTATAGCATCCTACTTTTGTGAGTAGATTTTTAAAAATCCAATGCCTTAATAAGAAGAAAAAAAAACCAAAAGTACAATGATATAAAAAATACAATGCGTTTTTATAAGAGAAAAACTAAATTAGAATGTTGTAATAGAAAGAAATGGAAGTATGATGCTATAACACGCAAATAAATTAAAGCACGTTGCTATTCTTCCATTTATTCATGTTTAAAGAAGATGTGTTAATATTTTGAAGAAAAAAAAACAAGGTTGTTACTCTAGCAATTGTTGGTATGCAGAGGTGTGTCCCGGTTTTTCTTGACGAAGATCTTGTTAATCTGTATTACAACGGATATTGTAATAATATCTTATGGCCTCTCTTCCATTACCTTGGTCTCCCACAAGAGGATCATCTTGCTACTACTCGTAGTTTTCAATCTCAATTTGATGCTTACAAGAAAGCTAATCAGTTGTTTGTTGATGTGGTGAGTGAGCATTATATAGAAGGGGATGTCATTTGGTGTCATGATTACCATTTGATGTTTCTACCTAAATATTTGAAAGAACGTAATAATAAGATGAAAGTTGGTTGGTTTCTACACACACCGTTTCCTTCCTCCGAGATTCAGAGAACACTCCCTTCCCGATCTGAGCTGCTACGAGCCGTTCTTGTAGCCGATCTTGTTGGGTAAAGGCTTACATTCTAAAATTTGTTCCGTAAAAATATTAGCCCCTTTCAGCCTCAATCACTACTTTCATCCCTAAGGCTATGTTTGTTACACTATGTCCTAGACAGTCTGGCGGGAAGACGACTCAGAACAGACAGTCTGCCTTTTGGGCAGACTATCTGGCTTGGGCAAAAAGTCTGCCCTGTCCCGTGTCCTGTCCTAGACAGATGGGCAGACTGTCTGTCTGTCCCGTCCTGGAGTCTATCTTGGATGGGACACACGTTTGTTTTGGACGGGACAGACAGTGTATGGACAAATTGTCAGTCCTATGCCTAACGGAGATAGTATTGATGCTAACATGTGCTATATATATGTCAGCTTCCACACTTATGATTATGCAAGGCACTTTGTGAGTGCATGTACTCGAATTCTTGGCCTTGAGGGTACTCCTGATGGAGTGGAGGATCAAGGGAAACTTACTCGTGTTGCTGCGGTAAATTACTTGATCATCTTTCGTTTATATATATATATATATATATATATATATATATATATATATATATATATATATATATATATATATATATTCAGTTATGTATATTTTGTTATGTTTTATGAGCACAAAACTTAGAATCTTGAAGCAGCTACTGATTCAGATTCATATATTGGGTTTTGAAAGCACAGTTTCCTATTGGGATAGATCCTGGTAGGTTTATACGAGCAATTCAACTTCCTCAAATCAAAGAACATATAAAAGAATTGGAGGAGAGATTTGCTGGTCGAAAGGTAAATCATAATCTACCTGTGTATGCACTACCAAAACAAATCTTTTTCAAGGGATGCAATACAATATGGAATTTTCAAATTTTCAATAATTTGTTACAGTACAAAAAAACTAAAAGTTTCTTTTCAGGGTATGCACATGCATATCTTGGCATTTCTCATTGGTTTTTTTTTTTATATGAAGGTAATGTTAGGAGTCGATCGCCTTGACATGATTAAGGGAATTCCACAAAAGATTTTGGCATTTGAAAAATTCTTGGAAGAAAATCCGGATTGGCATGACAAAGTGGTGTTGCTTCAGATTGCAGTGCCAACAAGAACAGATGTTCCCGAGTGTATGCTTTCAATCATTTTAAGGGTTAAATGCAAGAAATAACAACATACTTTTGTTTATTTGTTTATTTATTATTTATAGGATCTTACTTTTATTTTATCCTATTACAACATTGTAATTTGAAATAGCTACCCAGTTAAAATGCTAAAATTGGCTAGGATTTTTAAAGTACAATGCCTTAATAATAAAAAGATTGAAATTATATTATTCTACTAGAAAGAAATGAAAGTAGGATGCTATGATACACAAATAAATAAAAGTATGTTGCTATTTCTTTTTTCCTTTATGATTAATGGATCAATTATCGAAGCATGAAACTCGTGTCATTTCTATTTTTGTTCTTTGTGGATTAACAGATCAAAAGCTCACATGTCAAGTTCATGAAATTGTTGGAAGAATTAATGGAAGATTTGGGAGCCTTACAACTGTCCCTATTCATCATTTGGTTTGTCTTTTCTTTTAATTGAAAAACATCTTGTTGAATCTTGAGTTAAAACACAAGATATTGATTCAATGTATAATGGTTGATTATTATATTATCAAGAAATATCTTAAAACTTGAATAATTTGTATTCGATCCCCCCCTCCCCCCTACAAATACTGTTATACCTTTGGGACCAATACTAATAAGAGTACACTCATGCAAATGGGAGAAAAAGGTTAATTAAACTACAAAATACAAGATGATGATTGTGTGAAAGATTCTTCTCTTCTTGTAGATGCATCAATAGAATAATATCCCATGATTTTTTAGCCTTGAAATCTGTGATTCCTTTTCTTTATACAGGATCGCTCTCTTGACTTTCATGGATTATGTGCATTATACGCCATTACGGGTATGCTTTAACCCCTACCAAATCATGTGTTATGCTGTTTGAATGCAAGAAATAACGTACTTTTATTTATTTGTCTATTATAACATCTCACTTTCATTTCTTTCTATTACAACATTGTATTTCCTTTTTTTTTTTCTTATTAACATATTCTACTTTGAAAAGATACCCAATTATAGCTTTATACTTTCAATTTTTTTGAAATGGAAGTAGGATACTATAGCACATAAATAATTGAAAGTAGTTTGCTCTTTCTTGCATTTTAACCCTATGTTATGCACTTGTACTTTACTCATAGATGCTAAACTATGCTTCTTTCTCCCTTTAAAAATCTCAATTAACAAGTCTTTTTTGCTACCTAACACAATCATATTTTCTCGAATTGGTGGATAAAGTGATATACAATTTTTTTTTACATAGATGTGGCTCTTATTACATCATTAAGGGATGGAATGAATCTTGTAAGTTATGAATTTGTAGCTTGTCAAGCTTCAAAGAAAGGTGTTCTAATCTTAAGTGAGGTATTTATTCCTAATTATTATTCAATCACTACAAAAAGATAGTCAAGTGGGTAAATTGAAAAAAAAAATTGGTAAAAGTACATTGTTAGTTTTCTTTTCTCTATTTTTCCAAAAAAAAAAGTAAGTGCATAGTTATTAAACATTACAATTTTCATGGAATGGATGAAGTAGTAATTTGTATGTTTCATACACATAGTTTGCAGGAGCAGCACAATCTCTAGGTGCAGGGGCAATTTTGGTAAATCCATGGAACATTACAGAAGTAGCTTCTTCAATTGGTTATGCTCTAAATATGCCTGCTGAGGAAAGGGAAAAAAGACACCACCATAACTTTGTCCATGTCACTAGTCATACATCCCAAGAATGGGCTGAAACATTTGTTAGGTATGCATCTTATTTGTTTACCAAATATTATCAATTCACTTTATTTTTTTATCAATTAAATAAATGTAAATGTAAGCATGTGGTTTATTTATTGTCTTGATGTGTAGTGAATTGAATGATACAATTGTGGAAGCTCAATTGAGGATTAGACAAATTCCACCTCTACTTGAAACAAATGAAGCAGTTGACCGATATTTGGATTCGAACAACCGTTTACTCATTTTGGTATTCTCTCCCTTTAAATTAAATACAAAAATAAAAACAAAATGTTGTTCTAAAATTAGTTTGTATACTTTCAACTTCATAGGGGTTTAATTCAACACTGACTGAACCTATGGATACGGGTAGACAATTCGATCAATTCAAAGAAATGGAACCCAGACTACACCCTGAAGCAAAAGAAGCTTTAAAGAGACTTTGTGATGATCCAAAGACTACAGTAGTCATCTTAAGTGGAAGCCATCATTCTGTCCTTGATAAGGTATTAAATGTAGACCTGGCAATTTCAGACACGAAGACACGAATCTGTGAGAGACACGACACGACACGAATACATCTTAAAAATTGAGATAAAGCTTATTTCTCATTGTGTAATCATATCGTGTCAAATTTGTGGCTGACACGTTTTCATGACACGAATACACGAATTGCCAGGTATAATTAAATGTAAGAAATAGGCATCTCATATCATTAGCAAATAAAATGTTGGTGTTTTATTTGATGAATATGCAGAACTTTGGAGAATTAAACATATGGTTAGCTGCTGAACATGGAGTATTTTTAAGAACACCCAATAAAAAATGGACAAGAAACATGCCTCAAGTACACATGGATTGGGTTGATAGTGTCAAGGTCAGTCCATTCAGCCAACATTTCCCCTTTTCGATATCATCATGAGCATGTGCCACAAACCCTAAACACTTTTGTCTAAAATTTAAACTGTTTATAAATATTTAGTGTGTGTTGAATATGATTATACAATTACAATAATAATCGATTGAAATCATATCCTTGGGAGACTTTATGATATGTTGATTTCAGCACGTGTTTGAGTATTTCACCGAGAGAACTCCTCGATCTCAGTTTGAGCTTT